GACAGAGCCCGCAGAGGCGCAAGGACAGGCGGCCCCAGAGGGAACAGAGCCCGAGGAGGCTGTCGCGACAGCCCCGTCCGGGACAGACGCCGAGGGAGCTCTGAGAGAGGAAACTCCGTCGGGGACAGTCCCTGAGGATGCGGAGCGAGAGGCAGCCCCGACAGAGCCCGAGGAGGCTGCGGCGACAGCTCCAGCGGGGACAGTCCCCGAGGATGCGGGTGCGGTGCAGGAGGCAGCCCCGGCTGATGTGGCAGTCCCCGAAAAGGCGCTGGGGACAGTCCCTAAGGGTGAGGTGCAGGAGGCAGCCCCGGCTGGGACAGTCCCTGAGGAAGGGGCGGTCCCGGTGGGGACAGTCCCCAGGGATGAGGTGCAGGAGGCAGCTCAGGCAGGGACAGTCTCTGAGGAAGTGCTGGGGACAGTCGCTAAGGATGCGGTGCAGGAAGAATCCGCATCTGGGACAGTCCCCAGGGAGGTGTTGGAGACAATCCCCAAGGATGAGCTGCGGGACGTAGCCCCGGCAGGGACGGTCCCTGAGGATGCGGTGCAGGAGGAAACCCAGTCTGGGACACTCCCCAAAGATGAGGTGCGGGAGGAAGCTCCAGCAGGGTCCGAGGATGCGGTGCAGGAGGCAGCCCCGGCAGGGACAGTCCCTGAGGAGGCGTTGGGGACAATCCCCAAGGATGGGGTGCAGCAGGAAACTCCAGCAGGGACGGTCCCCGGGGATGCGGTGCAGGAGGAAGCTCCAGTCCCCAGGGATGCGGTGCGGGAGGCAGCCCCGGCAGGGACGGTCCGCAAGGATGAGGTGCAGGAGGCGGTTCCAGTCCCCGAGAATGAGGTGCAGGAGGAAGCTAGAGCAGATGTGACAGTCCCCAGGGATGCGGTGCGGGAGGAAACCCTGGCAGGGACAGTCCCCGAGGATGAGGCGCAGGACGCAGTTCCAGTCCCCAGGGATGCGGTGCAGGAGGCAGCTCCAGCTGATGTGACAGTCCTCAGGGATGAAGTGCAGGAGGCAGCCCCGGTTTCTGGGACAGTCCCCAGGGATGAGGGGCAGGAGGAAACCCTGGCAGTTCCAGTCCCCAGGGATGCGGGGCAGGACGCAGTTCCAGTCCCCAGGGATGAGGTGCAGGAGGCAGTTCCAGTCCCCAGGGATGAGGTGCAGGACGCAGTTCCAGTCCCCAGGGATGAAGTGCAGGAGGCAGCCCCCGCAGGCTCGGTCCCTGCGGAGCGCAGCGCGGATGCTGCCGAGAGCCGCGGGGCACCGCAGGTGGCCTTGCCC